CTGACACCCCAGCTCTCTCTCCACTGTGTGTCTCAGTCCTGGGGTCTCACTGCACCCCAGCTCTCTCTCCACTGTCTGTCTCAGTCCTGGGGTCACGCTGACACCCCAGCTCTCTCTCCATTGTGTATCTCAGTCCTGGGGTCACGGTGACACCCCAGCTCTCTCTCCACTGTGTGGGCTCATAGAGGAATTATCTCATTCTGTAGAATAATGGAAAAGGGAAATCTATGAAGTTTTCAGACTCTTAAAGATGTGTCAGTATTTTTTAAAAGAGATCAAGAAACATGATTCAGATGTTCAACTAAATCAAGTCATACAGATCATTATCCAGGCTTACAATAAGGGCACTTGTAATACCATATCAACACTCTATCAGGGTATAATGAGTTCTAGAAAAAACCCGACAGATCATATTAAGACAAAATGGGAAGAAGAACTACTGTAAATATTGCCATCGAAGATAGTGGGAATATTGCTGGAAGAATTTAACTCAATTCCTCATAACCTGTGGTTCCTACTGTCCTTCTGTTGTTGTTTTACCACTGGTTCTGAAGAAGTCCACTGGGCTGACTATCAGTACTTCACTGTTTGTTCTGCCCTACAGAACTCCCTCTTGTATTCCTGTCCCTTCATCAGCTGATAAGACAGGGTGTTCTTCATACTCCGTTTCTCCCTACACATCTCAGAAACACTCTAACAAGCTTCTCTAAATCTCTGAATTCTGACGATGTGTCCTTGCCATGATGTCATTCCTGACCACTGATACAAACGTGGCAACTCAGCAATGGCTCCACCCCATTTCCCAGCAATGCTGTTTGTTTGCATGATCGGTATCCCACACTTCCTTGATTCCCTGCCTCACAGCCCTCAGCTCTCTTTATTGCTCTGTTTCTCCCGTGTGAAACATTTCCCCGAAATGAAACATCTCCTTCCTCTTGCCTTCTCTCTCTGTTACTGGTTGAACATCCAACCCACCGCATCTACAGCCCCAGTCTATATCTGTTGTTCTGTCTCTCCCCACTTCCCCATCCTTGTTTTAGCTGTCCACAGCAGCAGCCTCCAGTCACTGACTCCCACTCTGTCCTGCAGGTGTGAGTGCACGGCATTACTGTGTATAGGGTACAGGCCTCCTCGTTAACCCACACACAGGTCATAGTGCTCAGGTTCTCGAAAAAAAACACAGTCAAACTGACTTGCTTTTAGCTCAGTGTGAAATCTGCGTTGGGCTTTTGGAAATTCTTTTTGGGGGGATGTGACAGTGCTGATCTCCAGCCAACACTGTGATGTCAACAGTGAAACGAGTTCAAGCCAGGGCACTAAAATCGCTGCCTCTTTATATTCGCCATTATTTTGAAATTATTCAAAATTCATCGGACAAACTGAAAAAAGCCATAATATATCTCAAAAGTAGCAGTGTTTTTGAAAAAAAATATTCAGTTGTTTGGCTAAATTTTAATAATTCTAATAATGACAAGTAGAACAGAATAGAGTATTTAGATGTCAAAAACAGATATTTGTTAGAAAAAAAAGCAGAAATATATATTGTGATGTTGTGAGATGTCCACAATAGCGGAGAGGTTCTAGGCGAGTCCCAAGCACAGACACACTCCATACACAAGATATTACATCCTGCTGGTCTTCTTCAGCTGTCCCCCTGTCCTGCAGTCTGATTGGCAGCTCCTGTCACTGGGAGGGATCAGGGCGTCAGCCTGAGGTATAAAGACTGAGAGAGGAAGAGCTGTAACACTGTGGATACAGACTACAGATAGCAGCAC